AATTAGGTCATCTGGCTGTGATTCCTATCTGGTTTGCCCCACAAAGCTGACATTAATCTTGCATGTCTGAAAGTACAATCCTCCCCTTCCCCTATCCCCTTTACAACCCAAGAAATTAAAGAGTGTCTCTTCTGAGCCTCTTGCCTTCCCATTATTCAGTTGTGGGCTATGCTGTCTCTTATCTGATGGTTCCCTTGGCAGTGTCTCTTTGCCCAGTCTCCCAAGGTCTTTCCCACATACCATTACAATCAAGAGACCAATGCAATCTTTTTAAAAAACCCTTGCAAAATACAATGCCTTTGTTTTTTTGTGATTGATCTGCAATGAATGTTCTTTGAAGAAATGGGCCAGAGGTCCCATGGCCCTTCTGAGACCTGTCAGCATTTTTGATAATAGAACTGAATTGTCTGCAAAAAACCCAGTATAGATACAGGTCTACTATCCAGTTTGGGGGGGTGAAAATGTCCCTTGTTAAGGGTACTTAACTCTAAATGTTTCCAGTAAATGTGTCTGGCATATATCTTACTGATTATTCTCAGAAAAAAAAATATTTTCATCTGTGATGCTGAAGCTATGCAAAACTTGTGGGCAACCTCTTTTTCCAGTTGACAAGAACTCTTCCATCACATGCTTCCCAAATATTCAAAAAGTTTTATTACTGTTAATAGTCAGTACTTTTTAATAAGAATAAGCCTGACATAGAGCATGACATACAGGTAGTCCCCGGGTTAAGAAGGCCTGATTTAAGCACAACCCATAGTTAAGAACAGAGCCTATTGTAGCAAAATTTGAATTAAATACACAATGATTCAAATTAAATACATAATGGTTCGAGTTTATTACACAATACTACTTATACAGCATTATACAATAATGCTGTTCCAGCCTACATAAAAATTCGATTGAAGGGCAGACCTTGGGAATGGAACTCATTCTTAAACTGGGGACTACCTGTACAAGGTCTGGGGGGTTAAAATCATGCACTGCCAACCACCTAGAGCTAGTGTTGGATTGCATGCAAGTAGAGCAAATGAATAAATACCTACTCTTGTGAGTCCATCAGGAATTCTTCCAAGTACACCAAACATCCCCCTAATACCTTCCAGGGTGTAGGCAGGTGAGAGACCTATAAAGAGCTTTACTCTGAAGGAGAGGTAGGGCAGGATTGAAAAAGCAATGAAACCTGCAAAATAGGAAAGAAGAAAGGAAGGAGTTAAAACTGTAGAACTGCATGATTGTTATAACTTTAACTTCTGCTTACTTTTAGTGCTGGCCTGAATCTTATCCCTCCTTTTGTAAAATTCTTCCCCCCCTCTCCCTGCCCCAAATATTACTGGGGGTGGAAAAATTTCTTTACAAATTCACAGACTGGAATTGTTGTTGTTGTTTAGTCATTAAGTCGTGTCCGACTCTTCGTGACTCCATGAACCATAT